CTTGAAGGCCAGAAAACCGCCGCCATCGAGATTCTGCAACAGTTCAACTGGGAGGTCCCCGACTGGGTAAATAATACTACCTCCTTCCCAATTACAATTTTTTTCCTCTCCCCTCTCGATAACTTTTGCTTACTTACGCGATTTCATTAAGTATTTGATAAAATAAAATATTCTTAACACCTCTTGTTTTGTAGAACTTTTGACGTAGTTTTTAATATGTAATTTTTTATCTTATTGATATACCAATTTTTAAATAAAATGATTTCAAAAAGTAAGAAATTTTACTTTGTAACCTGCAATTTGTAATCAAATTGGGGACGGAGGGTGTAAAACCTTTTCACACTCTCCTTATTTGTCCTAGTTCAACTCGAACTCGATCTTAAGTGACCCGACCGACTCACCGACAACTAAAATATCCGAACTCGAACCGAAAATAAAACAATCTGAATCTGACTCAAAATTTTTTATCTGAACCCGACATCGGGTCAGGTCGGGTGTGAGTTTATAATTTTACTCGACCCAAACCCGAACCGATCCGACTCAAACCCGAATTTTTTGTAACATTAAAGTATATCCATGGATATAATAAATACGCCGTATAATCTCTTGACAAGGTGCTACCATATTAAGTACTCTCTCCGTCCCCAATTAGATTACAAATTGCGGGTTACAGAACAAAATTTCTTACTTTTTGAAATCATTTTATTTACAATTGGTATATCGATAAGATATAAAAACTACATATTAAAAAACTACGTCAAAATTCTACAAAACAAGAGGTGACAAGAATATTTTATTTTATCAAATAGTTAATGAAATCGCGTAAACAAACAAAAGTCACCGAGAGGAGAGAAAAAAATAATTGTAATCTATTTAGGGATGGAAGGAGTATGCCTTTTATACTTGTTTTTTTAAATCCTTAATAAAAAATGAGACGCAAAAAAAGAGACCCAACAAAATTATGATTTAATTTTTTTAAAATTATTAGGATACGTCGGATTGATTATTTGTTAAATTACAAATTCAGGTTCAGGTTTTGGGTTTAAATATCGGATTCAAGTCGGATTTTTGGATTAAGAAGCCGAGTTTTGGGTCGGTGTTCAGATTTCAATTTTAAAGTCGGGTTGGATTCGGGTATTGACGTATATACTATCCAGTCTGAACCCGACCCGTTGTCATCTCTAGTCCTTGTCCCATAACTTCTTCTTATTCAAATTTTGTGGTAACATGTTTAACTTTGGTTACAATTAAATTGTGATTAAAATTTAATAGTAATATACTCCCTCCGTCCACAAATAAAGTTCCCATTGCGCGTTACGATGTTTGACTGAAATTATTTTCAAATCATTTTATATGAAAAATGGTATGGAATTAAAAAATAAAAATTACATATTTAAAAACTACATGAAAAAATCTACAAAACTAGAGGTGACATGACTATATTATTTTACTCCCTCCGTCCTATATCTTTCTTCCCGTTGCGCGAAACGAAGAAAAATCCCAAATTTTTTCAATCTATTTTATTTAAATATTGGTATAGAAATAAAAAATAAAACATACAAATTTAAAACTACATCAAAAGTTCCACAAAACAAGTGGTGACAAGAATATTTTATTTTATCATATAGGCCATGAAAAACACAAATAAATGTAAATTCCCGTGAAGTTGGAATAGTGCTCTGGGAAGAAAATTTTAGGACGGAGGGAGTATCAAATAAGACACAAAAATAGGCCGAATAAAGTTTGACCATGTGAATAGTGAACGAGAATTTTATTATTGGACGGAGGAAGTATTCACTTTGAACTGTTATTTTATCATAAGTGTAAATATTTCTAAAAATATTTCCCAAATTAGAATTAGTTGTCGCAATCTTTAATAATACTTCGTATTATTTACAATGTGTGGTGTTTTGGTTAATGATTGAATTAACAGGTGATCATCCCGGGCGGGAATTTGGGTAACATCTATGCGTTCTATAAGGGCTTCAAAATGTGCCAAGAATTGGGCCTTGTTCACAAAATGCCTAAATTGGTCTGCGCCCAAGCAGCAAACGCCGACCCGTTATACCGCTACTACAAATCCGGATGGGCCGAATTCAGGCCCATCAAAGCGGGCACGACATTCGCCTCCGCGATCCAGATCGGCGACCCGGTCTCCGTCCACAGGGCGGTGCACGCGCTGAAGGAATCCGGCGGGATCGTGGAGGAGGCGACGGAGGAGGAGCTGATGGACGCAGCCGCGATGGCGGATTCCACGGGGATGTTCTGCTGTCCCCACACCGGCGTGGCGCTCGCGGCGCTGATGAAGCTCAGGCAGCGAGGCGTGATCGGCGGCGCCGACAGGACGGTGGTGATCAGCACCGCTCACGGGCTCAAGTTCACGCAGTCAAAGATTGAGTATCACTCCGGCGAGATCGAAGGGATGGGCTGCCGGTTTGCTAACCCGCCGGTGAATGTCAAGGCGGACTTTGGGTCCGTCATGGACGTGCTAACGAAGCATCTGCGTATAGGACCAAAGTTACATTTAAATTTGAAGGGAAATGCTTGGTTCACAAACTCAAGCTCACAAACTTACCATTTGTGAACTTCAATAAAGAAAATTAAATAGTCTAAAATAATTTTAAAATGAGAATTTAAACCATAATTAGTAAGTTTGTGATCCTTCTGTTTGTGAACGTAGCATTGCCCAAATTTGAATGAAGCATTGTAATTTGAAAGAGATTTTCACGGACAAATTTTATGGACATAAGATCCAAATCTATATATTTATCCACTTTCATTTTTACACATCATCCAATATACTTCTTTAATTCATTTTATCTTGTAATTTGTATATTAAAAAATTATAGAAATTATATATTAATAATCTTTATGTTAAGACAAATCAAACAAGATCACACATGGTTATATTTAGGTTTACATATTGAGAGAATTTGATGAGTCAAAGTGCTTAGATGAACAGTTTTAAAAGTCAAAACTGAACGAATACTCCGGGACAGAGAGAGTATTTCTTTACCACTTAATTAAGCATTTGGTTTTTCAAATTTAAAAAAAATTATGTGAGAAACTTTACAAAATTGATATGCACCCAAAGTGCACCAAATAACCATTCTTTCACGAGAATGTGATTTGTGAATTACCCCTAGTATGATGCAATATACTTTGATTATTTGATTTAGAAAATATATTTTGATTCTTTGAATTAATGTTGTCCAATTGATCCTTTAAAAAATAATTACGGAGCATTACTCCGTATCATTAACAAAATGAGTGTTTATTTAGTCACCTTGGATGCATACCATTTTCGTGGAGCTTTTCATATAAAAAAAACTTTTTTATTTTTTTAATTAAAAAAATAAATGCTTATTTAAATAATAAGAAAAAGCATGTTTTACTCATAAGTAGGTCCATAAAATAAATTTTATGGACCTACATTTTAATTTCCCAATAAAATTAAATTTTATTTATTTTGTTAGCTATTTTATTATTTATTTAATAAAATAATATAGTCATAACATATTTTTCTTTTGTAGATATTTTGATATAACTTTTAAAATTTAAATATATAATTTTTATTTTGTTAATTTTACACTAATTTTTATACTACCTCCGTTCCTTTAAACACTTTCACTTTTGACTTTTGGCAAAAATAAGGAAAGTGAAATTTTGGTTGATTTTTCAATTTTGCCCCTGATGTGATGAGTAAAAGTAAGATGTGATAGTTTAGTTATTAGTGAAAAAGTATGATGTGATAGGTAAGGTACGAAAAAGTAAGGGTAAAAGTTGTTTTTAATAGAAAGTGGAAGTGTTTTAGAGAATTCAAAAAAAATGAAAGGGGGAGGATTTTGTGGAACGGAGGGAGTATAAAATTATTTTAAAATAATTTCTATCATATCGTAACGGCCAAGGACAATGAATCATAATGATTGATAACTTGTCCCCGAAAGAAAAATAAGGTTGATAACTTCATTAACTTGATATAGGCTTCTTTTGAGATAAGTTTTTTTAAATTAAAGTTAATGTTTTAGATTATTTGTTAAACTATACCAATTAGAGGTTGATCTATTCGTTTGATATTATTACATGTGATCTGATTCTAGTAAAAATTGATCTTATATCATATGATCTTATCATACTGTAATTGAATGTAATTATATTTAAAGTTATTTCTTACCTGATTTAATTTTAGTAAAAATAAGTAAATCTATCTCCGTTTGAAAAATTAGTTTTACTTTCATGTTTTGCACATCCCACAAAAAACATTTGTTTCTTATGTTACAAGAATACTTTCATTCCACCTAAAATGTCTTGAATATTTCAAAATAAATTCTACTCACAATAAAGGAAGAACAAAATGTATTTTAAACATTTAAATGAGGATATGAGTATTTTGTGAAATACAAAAAAATGTAGGTGAAACTCTTTTTTGATCAAAGGGAGTAGGTAATAAAATAAGTTGAAGAAAATAAGGTCTAACTTAAAAAATATTAAAGCTAAATGTTATTGTTTTATACTGCGTTGACTTTCCAAAACGGTGAAATTATTGTCAAATGGCACATAATGTGTATTATCCAAGTATTTGTATTTGTTGAAATAATAGAATAGTATATTTACTTAAAAATAATGGATGATACAATAAAGTATATATAAAAAGCATTCTTCACATAAGATAAATCAATCAATAGTAGAAGTTAACTAATTCCTCCGTCTCTAAAACATGTTCTTGTTTCATTTTTTGCGCATCTCATAAAACACTTCTACCAACATCTAAATTGTTTAAAATTTACTGCATATCTCTTCTTTTGTTATAGGTAGAAATTGTTTTGAAAATTTTTTTGGCATTTAAGGTTGGAGAGAAATGTTTTATGGGATGCGTAGAAAATGAAAGAGAATGAGGAAGTAATAAACAAGCACGAGTACGGAAAAATGGAAAAATCAAAATCACTCATGAGAAAAAGTCGTGTATCCCTTTTCAAGTGGGAAATCACATTCTCAGAAAACCTCGGACCAGATTCCCAGCAAAAAGAAAGAAAGAAAGAAAGAAAGAAAGATAAAAAAATGATTAGGAGAAATAGCAGTGGAATGAAGAAAGGGGATTTAGAGGGAACACTGGTTGCACTATCTGTCCCTGCTAAGGACCGACCTCCCCTTTTCGGGTACCCTCTTTCTTTCTTTCTTTCTTTCTTTCTTTCTTCCTCTGCAACTCTTCTTGTTGTCATTTTTAAGGAGTTATTAATTCTTACTAAGTATTTGGGATTGTGTGTAGGACCGATTCGGGAACGTTTAAGGATGGGGATCTGCTTGTCAACAAATTTGGAATTCAAATTATCTCCGAAAATCACGCCCCACAGGTGTGTTTTTTTTTTTATATTTAAAATCTACTGATTTTCAAGAATTCATTTTTTCTTACTTCTGTGTCTCTGGATCTTTGAAAATTCTGAGAAAAACACAACTTCGGAGGGTAATGATGGGACAGACAGCCTTAGTAGTATGATATTGTTCATAAGTCGTGCCAAATTTGTTCTTCGAGTTCCATATTGGTGGAGTTAGGTTTCAGCCTCTTAATGGTTGGTTCAGATGTCTGAATGATTCAGCACTTAATGGTTCAGACTGTTTGTTTCAGCATCTTAATGGTTCAGATGTCTGAATGGTTCAGACATTTGCCTCTGAATGGTTAAGTATTATACAAAGTCTGAATGGTTAAGACCTCTTATCTGAATTGATCAGACATTTGCCTCTGAATAGTTAAGCAACATACTAGCTTTTAATGGTTCAACATTTAATGGTTCAGATCTCTTACTGGTTCAGCACTTACCTATTCAGAAGTTGTCAAACAACCCCTTAGAAGGTGGATTCTTATATGTTCAAGTCTCCATTTTTTCCCTAAGAAGTATTTTGGGGAAGAAAAGAAGTCAGTAAACTCATGAACCAACTTGCCAAATTTCATTGCACTACCAAACTAGCAGAGCACATTGTAGTGCAACTTGGTGAAATTTTGTAAATGGTTGGGCATATTTATTTGTTTGAAATATACATATTTGATGGGGAACTTCTTTTAACTTGCAAATTCTTCTTGTTCAGGCTTCAGTTATGGGGCCATCAGATCAGCATCTATGCTTGGCAGACTTTGAACCTATTAAAGTCATAGGGAAGGGAAGCGGCGGAGTCGTGTGGCTCGTCCAAAATAAGTGGACACAACAACTCTTTGCTCTCAAGGTTTGTACTTCATACCTTTCAACCTGTCGATTTCGAAAGATATGATCTTGGTAATAAGAGCAGAGAAAACCAGATTCCTCCCGTTTTTTTTTTGAGGAAAATGAGAGAGACCCATTTCTTTTTCTTTCCAAATTCCTTGAACCAAACGTAGTGTTACTAACACCGGATGGAGAAGAAGAAATGAACGAAAACATAAGCGTTCATCCAACTCGATTAATATGAGGACTTTTGGGAGGTGCCCAAAACAAATCCCTAACACAAGGCTATTCTTCATTTGCATTGCAGGTCATTCAACTGAATATTGAAGAGTCCAGTCGCAAGCACATTGCGCAAGAATTGAGAATAAACCAGTCATCAAAGTGTCCTTACGTAGTCATATGTTTCGAAGCATTTTTCGAAAACGGGTCTATCTCCATGATCTTGGAGTACATGGATGGTGGGTCCCTTGCAGATTTCTTGAAAATGGTCAGAATTATCCCAGAACCATATTTAGCTGCAATCTGCAAGCAGGTAGGCAGGAGTTGCATAAACTATCTATTGAAACCTGTTGAGATTTCATGCCGTTATTTTCGCATTTTTTTATTGTTAAAATCAGGTACTTAAGGGGTTGTGGTATCTTCATCATGAAAAACATATCATCCACCGCGACTTGAAGCCGCAAAATTTGTTGATAAATCATAGAGGTGATGTCAAGATTACTGATTTTGGTGTGAGCGTGATACTCAAGAGCACGTCTGGAGCCGCGAGTACCTTCATTGGCACCTATAATTATATGTCTGTGAGTATGTTAACCATAGTCTAAAGGTCTTAATACCTATAGAAATGCTCCTATTTAACTTCTATTCAGACATAAAAAAGAGTTGAATTCCTATTTAAGAACTATTTCAATGTTTTACTCCTGTTTAGGTATTTAACCCCACACATAATTTGCATTCGGATTGCTTGTGTTGGTCAATATGCATTCATTTTTTCTCGGGATCTTTTTTTATGTAGCCAGAAAGAATTGCGGGACCACGCCATGGATATAGGAGCGACATTTGGAGCTTGGGTTTAGTTCTTCTCGAGTGTGCAGCGGGTGATTTCCCATACTCCCCACCCCAGAAAGGGCAAGCAGGATGGACAAATGTCTTTGAGCTTATGGAGACCATAGTGAATCAACCTGAGCCTCGTGCGAATCCTGATATATTCTCTCCACACTTTTGCTCATTCATTGCTTCCTGGTAGGCACTGGCTAAAGTTTTTTTTATTATAAATAATTCCACTTAGCGCGTATCATTTTTGAAACATTGAATTCGTACCCCCAAAATAAATTCTTGGTTTGTGCTTTTTTCTTACTTACGTTCTTGAATAAACTCTACTTCTAAGTAGGAGTAAAGCCTACGTACACATACCCTTCCTGGATCTTACTGTCTTGTGGGATTCTACTGCGTTTGTTGTTGCTGAATAAAGTTTGCTCCTTTTAGTGTGCAGAAGGACCCCAAGAAAAGATTGTCAACAAATGAACTAATGGTAATTGGCTGATATGGTGGTCATTTACATGCGTTTGCCAATTTCATAAGGTTCAATCACTTATATCGTTTTAATGCATTGTGGACAGAAACACCCTTTCATCGACATGTACGACGATCACAATATTGATCTCGCGTCTTACTTTGCTCCCGTATCGTCTCTCCTTCCAACACTTTGAGCTATTTATAATTGGTAAATTGTGCTCTTTGTTGGGTACCTTCAACCTCCTGGTTTTTGTTTTTTTAAAATAATTGTTTCTTCTTATGATAAAAAGTGTTGCCTTGAGTTTCTTTAAGAGAATTGTTTCATCTATGGGTTTCTGCAGGTTTGTTTCCACTTCAATCTGCATACATTCACAAGTGTTGGTCTGCAATCACACCTTGGATATTATTTAAAACTGGCTGCTGCCTCCATTCTCTTTCCATTACAACTTTTTTAATAATTAAAAATTGAATGAATGTAGACATAATCTACGTCCACATACATTCAATTTTAAATGTACCAATAAAGTCATAATAGACTGTTAGAAATAGTAGAAAACATCTTAGGGCATGTTCTTTAGGACTAGAAAAAAAGAGCTGGATGTTGGAAGAAACTGGAAAAAACTGGAAGGAGCTGGAAGAACTGGAAAAAACTGGAAGGAACTGGAAAAAATTCAAAAAATTGGAAAACCTAAAAAAACTTTAAAAACATTTGTTTTAAATTCTTGTTGTTATAAATTATTATTATTATTATTATTATTATACAAAAAAAGTATTATTATTTTTTAAATACAAAAAACTACTTTTGGAAAACAATAATTGTAATATAAAGTTAGCATAAATATAAAAATATTAAATTTTAAAAAGTCTTTGTCGTTATAATGAACCTCAATTTATTTATATAGTATTTATTATAAATAATATATTTGTAATTATACTTTATATATATTACTACGTACAAAATTTTGTTTTAAATGTCAGACATGTCATATAATGTAATCAAACCTATTTTTCTATCATGATTGACATTTTATTTTCATTGAAGTTCTATTTTTGGAATAAAGACATAGAACTTTTTTTTACATTTTTTATATTTTACTTCTATTTTAGTCTTTTTTTCTAAACTATTTTGACATACATTTTTTTATAAAAATTAGAAAAATGAGTAAATTTCAAGTAATAAAGGGAAATGTGAGGGATCTTATATAAAGTTAGATTAATAAAACATTTAATTTCACTATTTTATCCATAATTTTTTTAATATAATTTAATATATTGATGTTTTCCTGTTTTATCATGTAGACTAATATATAAAAAATTTCTTTATTCATATTAAAAAGTTAAAGAAAAAAAAAATAATGAGTGTGAATCTTAAAAATAGTGAGATGAAAAAAATAATTTATAAACTATAGTTATGAACATAACAGTTGTAATAATAATAATAATAATAATAATAATAATAATAATAATAATAATAATAATAATAATAATAATAATAATCACATTAAAATATATCAATTTTAGAGTAATTGGTTGAGGAGTAAAAAGAGTTTGAAGAAAATGAGAATAGTTGGAAAAATTGGAAGGATCTGAAAGGAATTGGAAGGAACTAGAAGTTCCTGGAAGAAACTGGAAAAAACTAGAAGGAACTGGAAGAAACTGGAAGTTTAGAGTTCAAGCCCTAAAGAACAGATTCTTATTCTGGAAACCTGGTAAAGTGTCTCCGTGCATCTTGCCCAGCAACTAAATTTTTTTGTTGCTGGTGTAATTTTTATTTAGATTAATAGAAAAAAATATCTATGTAGCTATTGTACATCATCTTTTGTTTCTTAAAATGTGTAGATAATAGGGCAAATTTGGAGTATTGTATGATATTATATCGTACTCTGTCCGTCCCATTTTATATGGTATATTTCGATTTACGGTGTTTGACTGAAATAATTTTTCATTCAATTTGTAAGACCATTGGGATAGAATTAAAAAATTAAACTTACATACTTAAAAAAACAATATCAAAAGTACTGCAAAAGAATGGAAGTACTGCAAAAGAACAAATGACATAAGTCACGTAATTATATTATTTTATCAAAAGTACTACAAAAGAACTTAATAGATAGATAAATTGGGCCAAGTGTATTGGGCTAATTCCAATATTACCCATCACAATCATTTCATATTTGTTTTGAAATACTCAAGCATTTGATAGAAATGAGAAATGAGAGGTGAACTCAGAGCATAAAACAAGAGAGCCCTTAACACTCAAAACAAACACTCAGTATCATGGAATGAAACTCAAAAGAATTTCTTACTAGAGCACGTTACGCGGTTCGTCTGCTTCCAGAAGCTTCCTCGCCCCGGGACTGTCTCGGTCATGAAAACTATCTTTATTTACAGTAATGTGTCTGAACATCTTAGCTGGAAAAAAACTTGCTACGATGCTGCTTTCTTCTTGAACTTCCTGTGAGCCTTCAAGTCCACCACAATGACAGATATGTTGTCTCTGCTGCCCCTTTGGAGGGCAATGCGAGTGAGGTACTCGGCTGCATCTTGAGAGGCAGGGTCAGTTCCGTCATTATTGCTGCTCTCTTTAGAAGCCGTGGCGGCGGCCCCTGAAGAAACATTCTTCTTGTGCCATAGCAGAATCCGGCGGCGTGCCACGTCACATACTTCCTCATTAGTCATCACATCCCATAGCCCATCGCTGGCTAAAATGAGGCAATCGTCTTCTTTTGCCCGGGGCACGAATGTTATTTCTGGGTCAGGTATTACATATGGCTTCAGATATCTGTCGCCTATTTGTGAGCGAGGAATAGAAAAATTAAACATTGTTATACCGGACAGGAATGTCTGTGATTAGTGTTTTAGATTATTTTTTAATGATGCAGGTTATTTAAAAAAAAAATTAATCCTAAAAAAAACTTCTGTTATTTCAGAAAGATCAATAGATTCGGTAAGCCAACACGCACCAATGGATCTTGAAACTGCAAGCACGCCAGAAACGCGATGCCCATCCCAAGTAATGACCTTTCCTCCCAAAGCTTCAATTCTTGAATATTCATCCTCTCTATTTGGCTGAAAATAAAGAACACATTTACACTTTGTTTAGTTCATGGAATCCGGAAGAGAAAAGAAAAGGAAATGGTAAGAAAAAATTATACGGAGTATTAGTATCCGGTTAGAAAGAAAAGGAAAATAAAACTGGAAGTAAAATGTAAACTGACAATTATTTTCTTTCCATATTGGCGAGGAAAAAAGATAAAGCAACAAACTCCTCCCTTGTCCCCGTTGCACCCCTGGCCACTACCCCCCATCCCCCCCATCCCCCACTCTGCCATTACCTCCACCCTCTTCTAAACTATGTTTTCCTTCATTTACTTCACGACCACTTTACCCTCCACCCTCTTCTAAACTATGTTTTCCTTCATTTACTTCACAACGACCTGAGGTACTCTTGAAAAGTAATTTCCTTAACAATTTCCCTACTAACCAAATGAAATTGGGATTTTTTCCTTAACTTTCTTTTCCTTCGCATTTTCTTTTCCTTCGTAATTCTCAGAACCAACCATAGTGTTAAGGATATTGGTTGTTGTAAAGAAGGAAAAAAAGAGCTAATCTTAAACCCACTTTTTGCCACTGACACACATTCTTACATCAGTCATATCTTCCTCGGATTGTTTTCATTCAAAACTGTCCATAGATCACGCTCGTAAAATTTCACAACAATCCACCATCGTTTTGTGATTCATTTAAGAAATAAAAATCAAGGCGCAATAAAATTAAATGTTCTAAAATGTGTAAAATACAAGTTGAAAGATTCACGTTGAAACATTGTCGGATCATTGTAAAACTTTACAAAGGTGATCTATGAGTTAGAAACTTTCTATCCTATGATAAGTTTGAGTGAAAGCAATTCAAAGACATGACAGATGGATGTAAGAAAGGCTGTAAAAAAAAGTGGGCGTGAGATTAGCACCCCTCGATAAGAAAGAAAAATACCCGAGTGTAAAGAAGTCTTACTTTGTGATCAACAGACAATGGCACGGGCAATTTAGAGCGACATAGGACTGCCCTTGAATCACCACAATTTGATACAATTAAATGTGTGGGACAAAGAATAGCAACCAGAGCTGTAGACCCAACAGCTTCTGGTGCAATGTCACCTTTAGAGGTTCCTCCTCCAACTTCATCATCAACTTTTTGGAAACAGCTGCACAATGCCTTTTCCCAATGCTCCTTCCACTTAATCCCTCCAACCTCTAAATCGTCCTCCTTCGCCTTCTCCACCTCCTCAGCTAAGGCTACATGGAGACGCTCACAGCAATAATTCGCAACCTGCAACAAGCATGACGCATTCAACTTTTACTACATTTATCCCAAATAGTTTTTTTTTCTTTCAAAGTCATGTTATCGCAAGGTAAAATCGTTTCCTTTTAGTCAACTCATTCAAGGTACAAACTTTAAAATGAGTAATGATCAGGCTTATTTATGTAGAGATTCAGCATTAAAATGGGGTTCTATGCCCGAGAAAAAGCATGCTCACTCACGGAAACACTATTACAATCAATACAAAATGCCTATATTATGGAGAGGAGGACATGAAAGGATGATTGAATTGTTTGCAAATTTGTTCCTATTTGCTGATGTTAGATTATAATCCCAGCTTTGTTAGTCTTTGTATGATCGAAAATTTTAAATAAAATGAATTTGAACAAACATTGAAAAATGTTTGCTGAGTTTGAAGCATTTTTAAGATTCCCTCCTTTTTTTTCCTTCCAGTTTTTTTTCCCCTAGCAGTTTTCAAGAGTTCCAAGCGGATCCTAAGAATTCCATACCTATCAAAAATCCAACAAAGGTTATACTCCATAAGAGCCAAAAAGGGTATATGAAAGTGTTTAATGCAAAGTATAAACAGTTGACATTGCTTCGAATTGTTTTATTATTCAATATTTCTATTGACATTAATAACAATAATATTAAGATTAATATTAATAACAATAATAATGGTACTAATAAAACAAAGGCTAGAGGAAAGCTTACCTCACTCCCTCCATGTCCATCAAAAACCCCAAACAAGTGCGCCGCCAGGCTTTGGTTCCTTCCGCCACCAACCAGCACCGGAGAAGGGGTCGCCGGCGGGAACCACCACGGCCGGGAAACGACGGCATCCTCCATTTCCGACCGCCTTCCGCGGATAGACGTGAGTCCCCACAGAGGCGGAGAATCAAAGCCAAAGCCACGCTGCTTCCGCATCAGCTTCAAATCCTTGGAAACCTCCTCCAGAACAGGCGGCGGCAATTTCCTCACGGAATCCCCAAGCGAGCCGGGAAGGAGCCTGGAGATCAAAGCGGAATCCCAGGAAAAAGCCCTCTTTGTGGTCGAGATTAGGTCAAATCCATTGACGCCGCCGACGCGAGAGGAGAGCACGGATTCGTCGTAAATCAGCGCGCCTCGCGGCTTGTATGGAACAGGAATCGCCTCCTCCATTGAAATCCCCCAGATTCAATCCAATGCCGCCCGATCTCGTGATGATTTCTTCTGATTCATTTCATCAAAATCTTCTCCCTGCGCTTAACAGAGTTAACATCTATAATCACACAGACGACGAACA